GGCTTGCAATGTCATGCAAGATCAAAGGATGATCACAACAAATTCACAGTTGCACGCACAAAAGTAATGTACGATCTTGTTTGTGCATTGAGTTGTTTTCATAACCTTCATTTGAATGTCTGCACTGAAACAGCTTTAAAAAAATGGATAACAGTTAACTTAGATGTTTCTGCCAACTAGCATTAGTTTAGTTACTTTCAGTACAGAGAACAATACGACAGATAACCTCACCGCACAAAAACGGTACTAAAAATACTAATGACATCAACTAAATGGATACAAAAGCAATTAACGTGCACAATTAAGTCAAAACCCCTCATGTTGAATACAACAACTTAAACAGCAAGCATAATAAATAATATATAGCAATGAAGTAATTTGATTCGATCTGAGTCTCCTGTCCACAACCAAAAACCAGGCAGGCTTGCAATGTCATGCAAGATCAAAGGATATCACAACAAATTCACAGTGAAGAGATCTTGTAGTATCTTTTATATCAAGCAGTTCAACAAAACACATAAAGCAATAACACTGGTTTTTTGTGTGTGCATGTGTCTTTTTAAGTTGGATGATTGTAAATTTAATGGTTTAGAAATTCTTGATTTCTAGTCCAATTAAGTTTTGCTCATCCACGCATCTATCAAATTTCTACGTATTTCAAATTGATTAAGCTTATTTTAGTAGAGACTTGTACCAAATTTACAACAACCATAGACCACTGCACTTTCCTATTCACTCCTAAACTTATCCTTTTCACATGAGCCAGCGCTGCCAGGAAATTATTACAAGATCAAGCCTAGTTTTGATCCACTATTTTGTGATATAATTCATATCTATAGTTGACAAAAAATACTGCAAATATTTACTTTCTACCATAGCTAAAACCCTAAAAACCCAACTTTTTCCAAATCCAACAAAAGCCACTGTGATGATCTCAATTTTTTTTCTATATTCGTTCGTTAAGGAATGTAACTTATTTGTGTTCGTCCATGTTCGTTCATTTAAATGATAAATAAATACAAATGAATAAACATAAAAGATCATATGTAAACGAATACAATAAACGACGTAAAGCAACATAATCAAACATATGTAACGAACATATAAAAGAACACAAATGAACGAGCATCTTATGTATGTATGTATACTAGCATATAAAACGAGCATCTTATTATTATATTATTACATCAAAAGCAACGACGCCATTATTACCTGTGAAATCCTTTGGTATAAACAAACAAACAGTAACCCCATAAACTAATCCAAAATCTCCACTAACCCACAACTTTATCAATCCACTGATTAAAGTTAACCAATGTGAAATGAAGCGGGAAGACCCTGGCCTTTTCACTTTCTCGTTCTTCGCTTCAACTAGGGTTTTGAGTTTCCAAAGAAAATGGCAGCTTCTTATCAACTTCAAACCCTCTCCAAACCCTTTTCTCAACTATCGATCGAAAACAGAAACCCCGTTTTGTTAAACCCCGTCGTTGAGGTTATTGCTGCACATCCCCGCCTTAACGACCGGAAACTCCGGGTCGCCGTCATTGGTGGAGGTCCAGCTGGTTCCTCCGCCGCGGAAGCCTTGGCTTCAGGTGGAATAGACGTTTCTCTTTGAACGCCCTTCCACCGCTAAACCCTGCGGCGGCGCCATCCCTCTCTGCATGGTTGATGAATTCTCCATCCCTCTCCACCTCATTGACCGTCACGTCACCAAGATGAAAATCATCTCCCCATCGAATCTCACCGTAGATTTCGGATCCAAATCCCTCCGGACCCACGAATCCATCCCCATGCTCCGCCGTGAATCCTCGACTCCTTCCTTAGGACCCGGGCCGGATCGCCGGCGCCCAAATAATCCCTTCCCTCGTTACCCATCTCGAAATCCCTTCCCCTCTTCTTCCCCTTACGTCATCCACCACACAATCAATAACTCGCGTCAAACCCTAGCCGTCGATGCGATCATCCCGACGGAGCCAACAGCAAAGTGGCGAAATCCATAAAAGCCCGGCAACTACACGTGCGCAATAGCATTCCAAGCGAATCAGATTACCGGACGACAAAATGGAGTATTACCAAATCTCGCCGAAATGTACGTGGGAAATGACGTGTCACCCGATTTTTACGCGTGGGTATTCCCCAAATGCGACCACGTGGCAGTGGGTACCGGTACGGTGCGCGCGAAGCAGGATATCAATTGTACCAGCGAGGCATCAAACAAAGGGTTCAAACAAGATCAATGGCGGAAAAGTGATCAAAGTGGAAGCCCACCCGATCCCCGAACATCCCCGACCGACAAGAGTACGAGGTCGCGTGGCACTCGTAGGGGATGCGGCAGGGTACGTCACAAAGTGTTCGGGTGAAGGGATATATTTTGCAGCCAAATCGGGAAGAATGTGCGGGGAAGCGATAGTAAGAGCATCGGACGGAGGAAGATCAATGATAAAGGAAGATTTGAAGAGAGAGTATTTGATGGAATGGGATAAAAAGTATGTGAGTACATTTAGGTTTTTGGATTTGTTGCAAAGGGTGTTTTATGGGAGTGATGAAGCAAGGGAAGCGTTGGTTGAAGTTTGTGGGAGTGAGTATGTGCAAAGGATGACCTTTGATAGTTACTTGTACAAGAAGTTAGCTAAGGGAGATAGATGGGAAGATGTTAAGATGGTTTTGGGTACTCTTGGGAGTCTGATGAGATGCAAGATTATTGGTAGGAATATGGAGGCTTTGAAGTTGTAAAATCTATGTTAAATTCAGTTTTTTTTCTCGATGTTTGGATTTGTGACTATTTCTTTATCTCTAAGCTTGAACTTAATTTTTTTTACAAGTGAGACGTCTTCTGTAGAAAACCGTGATGAATTCAACATAAATATCAAATGTTCTGTGTCCATGTTCGAATTCATGACTATTTCTTAGAGATAATGCATAGACATCGGATGAAGATGATAAAAGCCACCTCATGAGGCAAACCTGCAACTCACATGTTGTCCAATTGAAAGCCCTTGATGTTGGGAACAAATTTGTGAATAAATCCCATATCAATATATTACAAACGGCATCATATTGGTCTAAACAATTCATCGGAACGCAATTGAAAACAAATTTTCTTCATATATGCGTATTAATGAAGAGTGATGATGAAGAAGAAGAAGAAGACCGCATTATAGTTTAAGGACTTATTTGATATTTTAGTAATAGTTTACGGGTAAAATTAAATATTAATTTTTCTATTAATATTGTCACATCATTAATTTAATAGAGATGACATTGAAGTTATTATTTTATTATAATTCGATAATATTAATGATCAATTTGTTACTTTTGAAATTTTAATGAAAAAAACGAAAACTTACTCAAACATTATTAACCATTTGTGTAGTATATCCTTTTTTAATTCTATATATTTATTGTGTCACTTCATCTATCCATTCAAGATTTAACAATAATTAACCTTTAATAATTGTATTTTAATTGAATAAAAATAAAATCATCAAATATTATATTTTTTGAATGAGAAAATATATATAAATGTTTTAAAAAATAGCAATCATGTAATTTATCTTAAAATAGTTTATTATAATATTTCTCCAACTACCTCTCCCATGACTACTTTTCTGAATCGGCAGCAAGTGTCCCACTGGCTTCAATTTTCTTGCCTTATTTCCTTGGCAGCTAGCTTTAATGGTTGCCTGTCCTTACTCCTTCCCATCCTTGAAAACATGTTTCCGTTTATTTATATATTCTTTTAAAACTTTTCCGACACACATTTATAGTTTATATATATATATATATATATATATATTATATATATATATAGGGGTGTAAACGAGTCGAGTCGAGCTCGAGTATTGTCGAACTCGACTCGAATTCGAAAACTTGAAATGTAAGCTCGACTCGAATCAAAAACTCGTGAGCCTAAAATTTTCAAACTCGACTCGAACTCGAAAGAAAATATTGAAACTCGACTCGAACTCGAAAATGCTCGAACTCAAAAAAATTCAAGAGCTCGATTGAAGCTTGATTTTGAGCTCGATTCAAGCTCGAACTCGATTCAAGCTCGAACTCAAACTCGAATTTGAGCTTGATTCAAGCTCTATTCAAGCTCGAACTCGATTCAAGCTCGAACTCAAACTCGAATTTGAACCTACAAAAATCTTATATTACATTTAAAATATATAAATAATTTTCCCTTTAATCAACCATCACCAATACATTATAATATGAATGTATGAACTATAAAAAATCTAAAAAAATAAAAATACAATTACAAGAAATTTAGGATAATTAATATAAGTTTTAAAGTTTTTAAAACTTCAAATGTATTGAAAGTTTACAAAACATGACAACACGTCTAAATTTATAAAAATATGATAAATATGACAACATATACAAGATGACACTATTTTCCTTACAAAAGATAACAATATCATGATAGCTGCATATTTACTTAAAAATAATACAAAAAATGATTTCAGTCAGTTAAGCTTACTTAAAAAAGATGACAGCAACATGTCAAGTTTACTTACAAAAGATTGCAACATGTCCACCAGTTAGCTTTACTCGTATATATGAGAACTTATTGTTACCCAAAGAACAAGAAACTTCTTGCATTCACTTAGAAATGTGGGAAAGTCAATAATTCAACAGTGCAAAATAACGGTAAAAGGAATTTTAAATGGTTTCATGGTTAAAAACATATATAAAACTATTAAATTAGACAAAAAGAAAAAAATTATATATATAATTATAAAATTTAGATCACCTTGTTCCTGTAATATGCAACATTTTGCAACAACAGTTTAACACGACAACTATTTTAACCTTTCAGAAGATATTATAGAAGGAATCTTGAACCCTACCAATCTTTGGATGGTTTCAGCAAGCATCTCAACTCTATCTACCCCGTCTCTTTCTGAAGTCCTGAAATATTTATGTAGGTTTTCATGAAAATGGAACTTTATCATGAAAAATACAACTCAAATCTAGAATCGAAGATTAGAACATTACCTTCAAGGCAACTTCAACCCCAACTTGACGGAATCTTAACAACTCCAGTGCATAGCTAGAAGCAATAAAGAGCAATATAATGAGATATACAGAAAAAATGAGTGACTAAACCATAATAAAGTAAGTAAAAATTATAAGGATCTTAAGGAGATAAAACCACACTCACAGTTTTGCAATCTCAGTTATGTCAAACCGAGGATCAAGGCCATTCCCTATGCCATCTAATACTATAGGTGAAATAATACGTTGTGCTTAAGTTCTTGATCAATACAACACAAATATAAATGAAGCAACCAGGTTAATGCATTACCTGAAAATGATCTGACAACAAATGTGAATGTGGCAGGGAATCAGAAGGGTTGATCTGCTGCAATGGCTAATAAATCTTCCCATGTTTAGGTAATGTAACATTAATGAGAAGCAGGAATCCACCCAAAGAGAAAAATGAAAGGTTAAACAGCAGAATATGAACTCAAAGGGATATAAATGGAAATCAATAGATCAGAATAGAACTGTAATCTTGAGACCCAAATATGAGTCAAGATTAGAACAAAAAACTTACTTTTCTAACCCATAACCTATCATCGTCTTCGCTAGGAACCACTATCTCATCTAGGGGAAGGTAAACCCTTCATCTTTTACGGTTTTCCAGTCGTGCATGTGGGATTCAAACCGTGGGTTTTAGGAATTTGAGGGGTTTTCTAGGTTAGCCGTTGGGGTTTATGGGGGGAGGAGAGGTTCAATAAGTTTGGGTTTCTTGCCTAGGCCAGTGAGAAAAGAGTGGTCCAGGCGTTAGGGCTCTTCATCGGAGCCCGTTGGGACGGCGAAGGCCGCGGTGGCCGTGGTCTGGCAGGGCTACGGGGTGGTGAAGCTGGGTATTTACGAGGGTATTCTAGGTTTAAGTTTAAGGTTTTGGGGATGTTTTTTATGAAGGTTGTCACCAGAATCTGTTTAGGTGAAGTTTAAGTTCCACATCAGAGCACTAGGTGGTTGAAGCCACGGAGGCTGTGGGTCTCTGTTAAGGTTGAGCAAGGAAAAATGATAGAATGTAGGGAGATGAGAGAGCGGCGGGTTGTGTCTCATTGAGGAGAGATGAGGAAATGATTTAGGTTAAGCGTTTCACCCTAATCTTCCAATATATTCCAGCGACCAAAACGACGTAGCTTTAATCAGCACCAAAACGAATTATTAGCATTTTAGGACCTGTTATATTTGTAATCTTCTGATTTCGTTATTAATCAAGGTTTACGTTTTTATGATTCGGGTTGTTAATTTATTTTTATTTTATGTTTTGATCACTGTTTGTTTTGATAATGGACCTATTGATTGATTTGACCAAGTGTGATTTATTAGTTTAATTACATATAAACCCTTGTTAATTTCATTAATTTCATTTTTGTTGAAAACATTTTGATATTTCGATATAACAAATTAAGTTTAAATGAATTTTAAGATTTTACAAATGATTTTTCTAAGTATATTCGATTCAAATTAATCAAATATCAAACTATTACTCCAAGTCTTTCAAAAACAGTTTTAATCCTTACTAAATGTGTAAAATTGTGATTTGTACTTAAACTATTTTTGAAACAATTTTCACAAAGTATTTTGAACCAAAATCAAGCCTAAAATCAATTTTTCAGAGTGATGCACCGATGCACCAATCCATGCATCGATGCGCCATGAATTAAATTGAACATCGAATGCATTCCATGCATCGATGCACACCATGCACCGATGCACTGAGAAATTTATAAAGAACATCGAATGCATTTGATTCATCGATGCACCAGCCATGCATCGATGCACTATGGCTATTTTGAAACATCGAATGCACTTGATGCATCGATGCACTCTTAGTGCACCGATGCACTAAGGTTCCAACGGTCAAAATATTTGAATTTTACACTGATGCACCATGGGTATGCATCGATGCACTGACGCTCCCAACTGTATTAATTAATTGTTTTCACACTTAAACAGCTCTATTGACTCCACTAATCATCCCCAACGTTCAGAAGTAATTCAAGGTGTATTTAAACAAGCTTAGAAGCCATTGATAAAAAACAAGAAACATCAAGCAACTAGAATCAAGAGAGAATCAAAGAGAAAGCATCAAACCTCAAGTTTGAGCATTTCAAGCCTATTTTTCATTCAATATTCATTTTGCTTTCAAGAACACTTATTGTGCTCAATTGTATTTATTCTTGAGTGTTCTTTCTTTGTTCTAGAATTGTGCAAACATATTTGCCTTGTGAGGTTTTTCTTGTAAGTTTGCAAATTTGTAATCTTCTCTTTGAGAAAAGAGTGTTATCAAGAATCGGGGTATATATTCTTGAGGGAATTGTAAGGTTATCTCTTTGGCCTCAAAAGAAAGAATAAATTAGTGAATTTGTTGGAAAATCCTTAGTGTGGATAGCTAAGGTAGTGGACGTAGACTTTGGTTCATAAAGTCGAACCATTCTAAATCGCTGTGCAATTATTTTCAATTTTCTGCAAAAGCTTCCACCAAAATTTTAATTGCCAATTCACCCCCTCTTGGCCGATTCCGTTAATCGATTAACTCAATTGGTATCAGAGCCTAACTCATTTGAAGGTTTAATCGCCTCTTGAGTCGATTCGGGAAGAGTTATATCGATAATAAAGTCATCAATGGCCTCCGCTTCAAACTTCGACTCCGGTCTCGATTCGATGCCCGTCAACAAGCCTCCTTTCTTCAATGGGGCTAACTATGCCTATTGGAAAAATAGAATGATGTACTTCATTCAAGCAAGTGACATGGGAGCATGGAATGTCATAGTAGAAGGATACATCAGGCCTCTCACTCATCCAAGATTGTGGAGTGAATGAGAGAAAAAAATGTTCCAGCTAAACTCCAAAGTCATCCATATCATATTTTGTGCTCTTGGACCAGAAGAATACGGAAGAGTTTCTTCTTGTACAACTGCCAAAGAAATATGGGACAAACTTCAAGTCACTCATGAATGTACCGATGAGGTAAGAAAATCTAAAATTAGTATTCTAACGCATAGCTATGAAAATTTCAGGATGAAACCAAATGAAGATATCAAAGCTATGACGGATAGATTTTCAACGATTGTCAATGGTCTCAAATCATATGGAGAGATCATTTCAAATGAAAAGCTTGTGAGGAAGTTAGTCTACTCCCTCCCAAAATCATGGTAATCAAAGAAGACGCAATCATCGAGTCTAAGGACCTAACATCCTTAACTCTTGAAGAGCTAATCGGTTCACTCCTCACTCATGAAATGATGCTTGAAGATGAGGTGGACCTTGATAAAATTGAATAGACACCAAAGGAGAAGGAGAAGGAGAAAAAGAAAAATATTGGAGTTTCTCTCAAATCCACAAAAGATGAGAGTGATTCGGATGAAGATGACGATGATGAGGAAATGACATTGTTTGCCAAACGGTTCAGAAAAATGATGAGACCTTACCGAGGGAGAAAATTCAAACGAAATGAAGGCCTAAAAAATGAACCAAAAGAGAAGGACCCGATCATTTGCTATGAATGCAAAAAGTCGGGGCATGTCAAATATGATTACCCATAATTGAAGAGAAAGGGTCAATCGAAGAATAAGCACAAGGCTCATGTGGCTACATGGAACGATGAAGAAGGTTCCGATGAAGAGGAACAAGAAGTAGCAAACTTGTGCTTGATGGCATTCGGGGAAGATTCTAAGGAAAAGGAGCATTGCTACAAGGCACGTGAAACAAATTCAAACTCATGGTACCTTGATAGTGGATGCTCAAGACACATGACCGGAGACAAAAGCCGATTCATTAAGCTTAACGCCAAAAATGGAGGAGAAGTGACTTTTGGTGATGATTCAAAATGTCACATTGAAGGTATCGATACTATTGGTAATACCTCTTCCATACAAATTAAAAATGTTTTATATGTGAATGGATTAAAGCATAATCTATTAAGTATTAGTCAATTTTGTGATAAGAGATTCAATGTCATGTTTGATATTAATGGTTGTAAAGTCATTGACATTACATCTAATCAGATTATGATTGTTGGTCATAGACTATGAAACATATACATGGTGCATTTAGATTCTATTGATATGACTAATTTGTGCCTAGTTGCTAAGGATAAACATGATAGTTGGTTATGGCATAGGAGACTAGGACATGCTAGTATGAGTGTTTTGCAACGGCTAATTCAAGGTGATTTAGTTCGAGGGTTGCCTAAGCTTGAATTTGATAATGATAAAATCTGTGATGCGTGTGCTAAAATAAAACAAAAGCGAGTTTCCTTTAAATCCATTAATGACGTATCAACTAGTAGAGTATTACAATTGATCCATATAGATCTTTTTGGGCCAACTAGGACTACTAGCTTGGGTGGAAAACAATATGCATTTGTCTTGGTAGATGACTATTCTAGATATACTTGGGTTCTATTTTTAAGTACTAAAGATGAAGCATTAGAACAGTTCATCACATTTTAAAAAATAATCCAAAATGAAAAAGGTTACTCTATAACTAGTGTTAGGAGTGATCATGACACTGAATTTGAAAATCTTGGATTTATTGAGTTTTGTAATTCTAATGGTATTAGCCATAATTTTTCAGCACCTAAAACCCCTCAACAAAATGGAGTTGTTGAGAGGAAAAATCAAAATTTAGAAGAAATAGCTAGAATCATGCTTTGTGAAAATAATTTGCCAATATATTTTTGGGCGGAAGCCACAAATACCGCTTGTTATATTGTAAATTGAGTAATGATTAGGCCAATATTAAAGAAAACTCCATATGAAATTTTCAAAAATAAAAAGCCTAACATTAGCTATTTTCATCCTTTTGGATGTAAATGTTTTGTTTTAAACAACGGTAAAGAAAACCTTGGCAAATTTGATGCTAAAAGTGATGAAAGAATTTTTCTGGGTTATTCCTTAAATTCTAAAGCTTATCGAGTATTTAATAAAAGAACTTTAGTTGTAGAAGAGTCTATACATGTTGTTTTTTATGATAATCCCCTTCCGAGGAAGGATTCTTGTGTGAATGATGATGTAGGTGTTATAAATACAAATGACGTTAGACATGACGTTGGAAAACCATCATCAAAGGAATAAACGAAAAATGAGGAAACTCATGATCCTCTTGAGAATCCAACCATTGAAGAAAGGGAAGTATCTTATCCAAGAGAGTACAACTATGTCAAGGATGGTGAAATTATAGGTGATCCATCAACAGGGGTAACAACTCGATCTTCTCTTAAATATTTGTAATTATGTTGCATTTATTTCATGCATAGAGCCTAAGAATATTAAAGAAGCATTAAATGATGAACATTGGATTATGGCTATGCAAGAAGAATTAAATCAATTTGAGAGAAGTAAAGTATGAAAATTAGTTGAAAGGCCTA